TCCATCGCACAGAGACTGGCGAACCAGTGCCTGGAGCACCCACCTATACCCACCAAGCTCGTCTCAACTGCCCACACTGTCCTCGCACTTTCAGGCATCGCATGGGCCTATTCGGCCACATGCGCATCCACGACGACCTGCAGTAGACAACCGCCGGTCACACCACACATTCACTCACTTCCTACCTCCTCCACCACCACCACCACCACCACCACCACCACCACCACCACCGCCACCACCCCACCAGAAATCAACACTCACACACCTCATGCACCCAACTGCCACCTCCCACGCAAGTGGGAAGTCCGCATCTCGACTCGGTCCCCATGCGGCTTCGGCTGCACGGGTGACTTGAGTCCGAGACTCTCCCGACACGTCAAGGGTCGTGGATAGGAAGGTTGCTGCTTGACGTCCGCTCTCGGTTCACGCAGTTCGTCGAGTCGTGTGTGTGTGTTGTGTGGAGTGGCGGACTGGTGGGCTGGGGACGGGCTGAAACAGCACCTTCCACGGCACTCTCACGCAAGTGAGAGACACGCCGTTCAACCCCCGTTGTGTGAAATCCTGGTGTTGTGTGTATGGGGGGGGGGGGGCAGGTCGTGCCGTGCCGCGCGCAGTCATGGTCAGTCGACCATGACAGCCACCGCGCCCATTCCCCACTCCAGTCTGCTGACCGGCTCGGACAGCGGCTGGGGTGTGGGAGTGGGAAGGGAGAGTGAGGTCGACGACTCGGCGCACTTTCTCCTCACTATAAACAATCTGACGCGCTTGAAGCTATCACGGTGCGCTAAAAGCCGTGGCTTGGAAGATTGCCAACTGACAGGGTAACTTGGACCTCCTCCTTGACCGGAGGCGGTCTGAGAGTCAGGCTGCAATGGCTCCTTTTTAATGTGGCCTTTATGGCACTCCCACCACAGTGTGGGATCCGGGCCAGGCGTTGGCGGCACGCCCAGGTGCGGCTTCGGCCGTGTCAGCCTCCAATCTCGGTTGTGCTGGTTGAAATCCTGGTCATTTGTTGTGTGGACGAGGGGGTGTGGTGGAACGCCAAGGTGAAAATCCGTCCGAGCCATCCACCTGCGGCCTCCCTCGTCTCCGGTCTTCCTGACTCTGTCTTGACACCGGGCCCGGGCGAGGGAGGAGGAGAGAGTGTAGGTAGATGCCACTCAAGTCTACCGGCACTATAAACCCCTGCGTAAGTCACCGTCCCTGCTCCCATTGCTGCTGCAACTGTGGGGCACACGGTGGACATCATCGAAACCGATGGTCGAACTGTCAAAGCCTTAACAATAATATTGTCTACACACTTTATTGTCCTGTTGACATAATCAAGACTCATACTGCACGTTCCCGATTCCGGGTTCGACTGTCTCGTCCCGTTTAAACCGCTCTACGGAAAGACAGCTAGCCGGACCCTGTGTGGTTAGTTAAAAACGCACCCATCCATTTCAGATTCAGAATATCCGAAGTCTGTTCTTGATATTTCATCTTCGGTATCCGTGAAGACAGCTCA